GTTTATTCGCCGATCTTTCTAAATTAATATCTCGTTAACGATTGCGAATTTTGCAAAATGGTAGAGAACTTTTCGATCCAGTTTAATCTGCTCTACCAGCCCACAAGATATTATCCGGTTATTACCGGACACCCTGTATATTGGAGATTTAGTATATTTCCAAAGTGTCAATTTGAGGAAGTACATATTATGACTAAACTTGTATTCCTTATATTTTACAATCATATCGAATTAAACCATAAGTGACATATTTGCCATAGAGATTTTTATCAGCCTTCCGATCTACAATAGGTGGTAAGCTCTTAAGTCCTTTCCTCTAAGCTCTGAACTGTGACGTTAATTTGCTCTAAATTGAAAAACTTTATATTCGACTGTAAGATCTGGCCAGCTCACAATTTCGGGATTGTGGCTTAAGGTAACGTCGGAAACATTTTTTGCCAAAAAAGTCACAATTTAGAGCTTACAACAAAAGGTAAAAAGCTTATTATCCCTACTGTCGGGATACTTGCAAGATTTCTACGAATAAAAATTGATAGAAAGTATTTAAGTGCCATAACATGAAATTTTAATTTACAAAGTTAACAAATAAAAAATGTCCAATTTGACTGTATATTTAATGTTTATAATGAAAACATTAATTTTTTTTAACTCGTTTATAACTCCTGTAGTAATAAACAAACAAAATAACGCTAACTAATTTAATATATTTTTATCAATATTATATCTTCATATATTCATATGTTTAGATTTGGCGAGATGTAATCTCATGCAAAATTAAATTTTAATTATAATCACTACTTTAATTATAATCACGCTATAAGCTCTATAAGTATACAACTCTATCATACACTTTGAAACTCTAATATCAAACAGCAAATCAATTATGGCAAACGATGCAAGACAACAGACATAGGTTTTACAGAAAATGCTGGATACCTTTTGAGCGCCTTATGTTCCAGATACTCTCTTGACTTTCTTAATGCATAGGAATAGGACTTAAGAACTTCCGTGTTTAATCGCGTTAAATGAACTTCGGAGGATATTCTCAATTTCTCATCATTTTGGTAGTAATGATTTTTTTCGAGGTTGAATCTTCTCTTCTTTATTCTGGAGACTATGGATTCTCTATCATTCTCAGGCTCATGAGCACGTTTAGTACTCCTTGAGATATTTGCCATTTCAGAACTGGAACTCTCGCTGGAAGATGCTAGAAGCGACAGCTTCGCTTTAACATTTTTCTCAGAAGAATCCGATTCGGTTTTCTTGTCGACCAGCTTTTCCGACCCCGATGAGAGCGATAAAAGTGTAGAATCGTCTGAATTTGATTCCAAGAGAGCTTTTTTTGCAGCCTTTTCCACATTGGCATCTTCATCCTCCGAAGAGCTCGTTTCTTGGCGAGGTCTTTTCTCCGGTAAATCATTATTTTTCTCTTCAGCTGTAATTTTGGCTTCGATCGCAGTATTCTTTTCAGCGACAGTACTCGCCTCTTTTACATGTGTTGAAAACTTTACCGTACTAACGCTATTGACATCAAAATCGTTGTGGTCCGTTGCGTCTTTCATTTCGGTTCGACCAGTATCATTTGCAATCAAATCTTCAGTTGGCTTAGCTACGTTCTCATCAGGGCTTATGTCCGAGTCAGAGTCAGTTGCCAGCAGGGCTTTCTTTGCCAATGCTTCAGCGTCATCCAGAGATTCGCTATCATCGGTATTCGTTTTGGTGGATTTCAAGTCGTCATCACCTTCCTCATTGGATGCAGATGCCACTTTCTCCTGATTATCTTGATCTGATAAATCCTTTCCTTTTCCACTATCATCGATTAAAAGAGATGTTCCCTCTTTTTCGTTTGAAACGGTATCTTGCAAAGAACTTTTGCAAGGATTTAAAGATGTATCCTTGGAATGCGAAAGTTCGTCTTCATCACAATTTGTTTCTACGTTTAGTTCGACTTCCGTTCTGCTTTCTTCTGCATCTTCGAGAGATGTATCGAACATATCCATTGACACATTGATTATATTCTTTCTGTTCGAACGATTTGTTTCATCATTTTCTAATGCCACTTTCTTAGTGCTACTTCTTAAAGAAGAATCTTCAATCTCGGTTTCGTTATCAGTATTTAAATTTGTCTGTTCATTGTTAGTATCATTTTCATCCGTCAATTGTGTCTTGTTGATGCTCTTATTGCATTCTGACGACACTTGCTTTTTATTTGATCGTTCCATGTTGACCCTCCTCTCTTTTACACCTAATACAGGAGAAGCGGCCAAATCATCTCGCGTGTCCACATTATTTTTATCGTTATTCTTCGATTCATCCACTAACATTTTATTTTCATCGTCGGTATTAGTTTCATTGTTATTGAGATTGTTTTCCGTTTTTACTGCATCTTTGTGTCCAGTCGTTTGTATCTTTTGCGGCGATCTAGTTTCATTCTCTGAAAATATTTCTTCGTCACATTCGGACACGGCCTTATTTTCGTCCTGCTCATCGCCGGAGATGTGTTCATCCATGCCTACTGAGAGATTTTCACGTTCTTCTGAAGATTGTTCATTATCGCTAATTATTTTGCTTGACATCCTCCTCGTAGTAGATTTTTTCTTATTCCCAGACCACAATTGATAAGAAGTTGTTAAATTTTTTTGTTTTGTCTGTATCGTCGTTACTAAATTATCAATTTTTTCTATAGATTGCAACATGAGTTGTTCCTTGCCATTTTCTCTGCCATACAACTGCTCTATACTTTCGATATACATCTGAAAGTTTGAACACGTCTTCTTACATTCCATTAAGATTTTTTTTATATCGCTAACATTCACATTCGACTGTTCGTTGGTATCCTTATTACTCTTATCATTTTTAGAACTTTCCATGGGTGACTTAGTATGATCTACTTCCAAATCTACCAATTGTCTCCTAGAGTATTTATTGCGATTCACCTTTTGAAGTTTTATCTTCTGAAATTCTTTACCGGAACTATTGTCCGAATCATCTTCCCGAATGTCAGAAAGTCGCTGCTTCGATGACTCGTCACGTTTTCGTTCATCATTATTACTGTACGGTGTTTCCGAACGTTCCCTCCTGTTTCGTTTTTTACCTTCATCTTCAGATTCACTAGTCGAGTCATGTATCTTTGACCTGTTCTTCGACTTTGCATTATCCATTTTCTTATTCCGTTGTCTGGTATCTTTTGAAATCCTTTTGGATACACTCGACACTCCGTTCGTGTCGTTCTTATCGCTTTCGCTGTCAGAAGAATGTATACGACTGTTCGTTTTACGTTTTATTATTTTCTCAGACCTATTATGTTTTCCTGTTTTATTCGACGACGTATCGGTAGAATCGTCATCCGAATCACTAGATATTATCGATTTCTTTGATGTAGTTTTTTCTTTCGTAACTGATTTTGAAACTTTCTGTGCGGAAGAATTCCGTATAGATTTCGTTTTTTTATCTCTCTCGCCTTTATTTCTTTTAGCTAAAGCAGTCGAATTTTCGTTTCGTGCACGAGACAAATCTTCGCTTTCGGATGAATCTGTTAAATCTACTTCCAATATTTGTTTCTGCAATATGGAGCTTGTATTAGGATTTGTACGAAGATTTTTTTGCGCGATTCTTACAGAAACGAATGAATTTTCGGAAGAATTGTCATCCTCTTTGTCACACAACTTTCGTAAGGACTTTTGTAGTTTTTTCGTTTTTTCTATTCGTTGTATCTGAGATGGTAAACTACGTTTTTCAATCTTGTTGAAGCTTCTCTTGTTACCCTTTCTGAAACAGAAGATCCATTCCATGTATATATCTTCTCCTTTTCCAGACGTATTCGAAGTATTGTGTATACATGCATATCCCTCATTCTTCTTTTTTGTTTATTCTCGAACTTTTAGTATCTGTCAGCCAGTCCTGTAGCTAAAAACGCGATAGATTCTATTTTGCTCTTCGCTTTCGCATATCTTGCTTACGGAATTTTCTTCTTCTAACAAATTATATTGTAACAGAACGGACTAACAGTATTAATAAAACGTAAAATTATACATAAAATTACAGAATAATGCATGGTATACTAAACATTGCTAAAACATGCAACTTAATTTCTAAGAAAATTATTAAGTTACTATCACTTGCAAGAGCTTCAATATATTTTAGTTCATAACAAAAATAATAAAGAAATAATTAGTTAGCAATATTTTATGTGTATGTTGGGTGTGTGTGTGTAAGTTACTATCACTTGCAAGAGCTTCAATATATTTTAGTTCATAACAAAAATAATAATGTAATAATTAGTTAGCAATATCATTTTATGTATATGTTGTGTGTGTGTGTGTGTGTGTGTGTGTGTGTGTGTGTGTGTGTCTACACATACATATACATATACATAATACAAATATTACGATAAAGAAATATATATCAAGAATCAAATTAAAAATATTTAAATGTATACATGTATACATGTGACAAAAATAAAAATGTGCATCCACAATTAGAAAGTTTCACGAGAAATATTCATATGCTTGATTGTACTCACTTGGAAAAAGAGTCCATTACAGCAGCACATACAGCCCTCAGATCCCAGATTGGTTTAGAATTACATATAAAACATTTCCAATCTTCCTTTTCTGCGTCCAAAAGCGATGAACTCACATTCCTCTTTACACATTCCTAGAAGTAGTTAATTATCAAATTAGTTAATCATACATACTATCATATTTGTATGACTAACATGTCTATTGAAAGATATGCTAAATTTATTACCTTACAAAACGCTGAGAAGCAATCTTTGTTACAGCATATGAATAGTTTTTTGTTTCCGCCGCAAATGTGACAATAACTTCGAGCTTTGTCCTCATCAAATTTCGCCTGTATATTTTTTAAGTGATTCCAGCATACCTGAAAAAAATAAATAAAATAAAAATAACATTGCAGTATAATAATTTGCATATAATGAACAAAAAATTTACTCTCCAGGTTTTTTTATTAATTTAGGCTTTAACACTTTGACTGCCATATGTATTCAATTGAATATATATCTACGTGAGTTCAGGTTTAGAGTATCGTCATATCAATTTTAATGTTAATTTAACACATATTTCCTACTTACTGCCATCTGTATGTAAACCAAGGTCACTTTACATTAATTTTATATTATTTATTTTAATGAGATCTTTCAACTTTACCAAAGACTTTTATTTAAAAAACATTTTATTAAAAAATATATTTTAATGTGAAAAATTATAGCGATTTTGGCTGGTCTGCAACAGTGTGCCACCAGTGCACAGTGTAAAGCTGATGTAAATGGGTACAGTACAATTATACCAACTGGTGCCGATTAATTTGTGAGAGTCACTTTATATATATACATCCAATATGCACCCGTGCGGCACCGAGTCTAAACAAATGTGCAGTACTGGCGAAGAACTGCATCATTCGACTAAACACACAATGCAAATGTGCAGTTGGTGCATCCCAGCCGAATTGCTATTAAATTTATATTATATAAATAACAGTCAGGGAATCGATTACAAAAATCCATGTGGCAGTCAAAGGGTTAAATATGAAGCGCATCTGATTTTAAATAGGGAACAATGTCTACAAATGCGCAATTTCTTACCTCACACTGCAATATTCCAATGAAAGGATGGGAAAAGATTCGCTCTGTCTCGATATTTAATTCATTACCACAGGTGGAACACACTATTTGCCTATCTTTGATAATTCTAATATCTAAATGTAAAGTGCAAGTACAATTCTATATTATTACAGGTGTTTTCGTGAATAAAATGATGCAATTAGAAGAATGTTAATGTGCTGACTACATGTGGTGACTACAATTTTTATTTTAATTTTTTATCAGTGTTAATATTATATATATATATATATATATATATAAACACTTATTTATTAAAAATTAAAAGAAAAATCATACATATATACACGTAGTGATTCAAAAGATTTTGACAAAGGTAAAAAATGTTTAGAGTAATCAAAATAGAACAATTTTCAAATAAAAACCCATGTGTTCTGAAATTCTGTATCAGGCTTCTGAATATAGGCAACTCTAACACTGCTGAAGTAATTGTATTTTGTGCACAAGCATTATAAGTTGATTGATGATGGCTTATCTAGTACACTCTCATGTTATCTTGACATATGTTTTTGTTACTTATGAGCCCAGAGGCCCGTCAATTATTATATTATTGATATACAAATTAATATAATCCTTGTATCTTAATAAAAATAAAATTAAGCTAATGGAAGTAAATTATTGATATTATTCGAGTGAAAGATCTATACTGACTCAGGATTGCTTTGGAAAACGTTTCTTATTCAAAAATTGTTCGCTATTTTGATCATTCTATATGCTTCTTTATTTTAGTAATAATCCAAACGAATTATTCGTACACACAACACACACACACACACAGATAAACGCGCCCGCGCGCGTAATTATACATATAAATTTATAAACTAAATGTGTGTCTCTATGCATATTTTATATGTGTGTATATATATATATATACATTCAAAATTTATATATACAAAAATTATAAGGCAAGGTTAACCTACCATGAAAATATTTCTCGCGATAAGCACACTCTTGTTCAGTTGCCTTGATTATTCTCTGAAAAGTAACCCAACGTGAGCATGAATACGCGTGATATCGCGAGACGTTGAATGTTAAAATAATTACTATGTTCCTCAGCGAACAAAGCCTTTTACATTATATACGAAGCATCGTAACGATAATAACATTAATTAGTACTTTTCAACATTGCACAATAGATACCTTCCACGGCATGATTGCAATGTAAGCCGATTGTATAGTTAGCCGATATTAAAAAAAAAAGAAAAGCGAAACACATAAATTAAAATTTACGCTCGATCAACGGCTACGGTAGCTGTCCCACGACAGTTTCACATGCTGTCTCATAATCAACTGTCTACGAAAATGTTTCTAATCACAATCTCGACGACTACCCGCGCATTTTTGTCAAGGTTACGAGAAAACCGCGCATTCAATAAAGAACCTTCCAATCCTTGCCAAATCTACACAGTAACACATATACGAATAATGTAATACCAGAGAGAAGCGTGAGAGAGGTCACGCCGGCTTTTTGGGTGGACCGACGGTTCTCCTTCGTACACTAGCGCCCCACGTCCACGTTTTCAAAAAAGGAACTACGTACTACGTCTATCTTATATTATTGTCGATCAAATCATAGCCTAACGTGGTTCGTGTCCGTGCTAATCGTG